GGATTCAATTCTCACCATTTCCAAAAAGAAAAGAAAGAAAAAAACGAATGAATAGTTTCTTTTGTTTAGTAAATGTTATTTACATTATTATTTCTCCCCTTTAAAATAACAAAATATTAATAAAGAGGTGCCTTTATTTAGTATATTACATATCTTAACACAATTGGAGACATTTACATAACTCTGTGCCTATGTTTCAGTGTGTTAGGAAGGATTATAGGATTGACTCACCTGAAGAAGACTGGGGTTTCCTTTAGTTTCACCTAAATCCTGTGGAACCAGAAGAGGCTCATTTTTCTCACAACTATCCTGGCTGATGAGCGTGTCTGCATAGTTGGGCTGAGGGAATATCAGGTGGCTCTTCCTGGAGTCTGCAGTGAGGGAGACCTCATGGGAATAGGTCTGAAGGAATGCCTGCATCCCATCCATGCCTACAAATTGCGGTACAGACACTTCACCAAACCCACTACTTGCAGCATGAAGTAGGCGATTCATGTGCCAGCGTCGTAGCCTGAGTGCCAACAGCAAGATGACAAAGGCAAGGAAGACACAGGAGACAGCAGCCACTGCCACCACCAAGTAGAGGGTGAGGTCTGAACCATCAGGGTCAGTAGTCCTGATGCTGCCCAGATCTGCCAGGACATCAGGGATGCTGTCAGCTACAGCTATGGTGAGTGTGACAGAGGCTGACAGAGGGGGCTGGCCATGGTCCTGGACAGTCACCACAAGACTCTGTTTCAGCACATCTCTATCCAGCAGGGCCCGTGCTGTGCGCACCTCACCAGTATGCAGCCCCACTGAGAAGAGTCCTGGTTCACTGGCCTTGAGCAAGCGGTAGGACAGCCAGGCGTTCTGTCCTGAGTCTCTGTCCACTGCCACCACTTTGGTCACCAGGTATCCGGGCTCTGCAGAGCGGGGTGCCAGCTCCACACCAGTAGAACCATCAGTGGGGAGGGCAGGATACAGGATTTCAGGGATGTTGTCATTCTGATCCAGCACAAACAGGCTCAGAGATACATTGCTGCTGAGTGGAGGGTTCCCACTGTCCCTGGCTGTCACTATTAGCTTCAAGTGTTGGAGCTGCTCATAATCAAAGGAGCACAGTGCATACAGAACACCAGTGTTGGAGTTGATGGAGACATAGGAGGACAAAGTTTTCTCCTGGATGGTGTCCTCTGCCAGAGAGTAGGTGACATGGGCATTCTCACCACTGTCAGGGTCCTGGGCTGTCATGGACAAGATGGATGCTCCTCTGGGGTTGTTTTCCAGAATGTAGGCAGAATAGGATGCATGAGTGAAGGTGGGTGGATTATCATTGATGTCCATCACCTGCAGTGAGATATGAGTCTCTGTAGACAGAGGAGGACTTCCCTGGTCAGTGGCAGTTATCGTAATGTTATATTCTGAAACTTCTTCCCTGTCCAGAGTTCTATGTATCAAGAGTTGATAATAATTTCCATAGGTCTTTTCAAGCCTGAATGGCAGATTATCCAGAATAGAACAAGTGACAAATCCATTCTCTCCTGAGTCACCGTCATGCACATTGAAAACTGCAATTACTGTACCTGGAGAAGAGGTTTCTTGGATTGAGCTGGTGAGAGAGGTAACCGTGACTTCTGGAGCATTGTCATTTACATCCAAAACTGTCACCAATACCTTACTTCTGGCTCGGAGACCAGGTCCATCATGAGCTTCTACATCTATGTCATAAAATCCAGAGTCCTCATAATCTAGACCCCCCAATATTATTATGTCCCCTGTCAGAGAATTCAACTGAAATAGCTGGGATATTTTGTCTCTTACATTTCGGAAAGAATAAGTCACTTCTCCGTTGGTTCCTTCATCAGGATCAGTGGCTTTTATGGTGAGTAGGCGGGTGCCCACAGGCAAGTTCTCCTGAACACTTATGTGGTACTCCGGTTGAGTGAATACAGGAGCATTATCATTGCTGTCCAAAAGTATTACATGAATACTGGTAGTACCAGAGCGAATTGGGTCACCTCCGTCAAAGGCAGTAAGAACGAGGTGGAGAACCGCCTCTTCCTCGCGATCTAGGGCCTGCTCCAGCACCAACTCCGGGTACTTAATTCCATCTGCCCCGCTTTGCACATCCAGAGAGAAGTGAACATTCGAGCTGAGCTGGTAACCTTGCAAGGAATTTACCCCCACATCCGGATCAAAAGCCTCAGGCAGAGGAAATCGTGCTCCAGGATTTTCATTTTCAGCAACTTTTATTTCCCTCTGCTCTATTCCAAAGGTGGGCGAGTTATCATTAACATCGATTATTTCCACTTCTATTCCAAAAATCTTCGCTTTGTCCTCTAGGAAAATTTCCAGGTTTGCCATACACTTTGGAGATCTGTCACAGAGCTCCTCCCGGTCTATCCTGCCAGCGGTGACCAAGCTGCCGCTTCTCGGGTTCAGAGCAAAGAGCTGAGTTTTACCTCTGGAGACGACGCGGACTCCGCGCTCCGTGAGCTTCCGAGGCTCCAGCCCCAGGTCCTTGGCAATGTGGCCCACCGTAGAGCCTTTCTCCAGCTCCTCAGGCACCGAGTAGCGGATCTGTTCCGCCGGTATTTGCCACAGGGCCCCCAGGAGAATGCAGATACAAATCAGTCYGCTGGAGTCTGGTGGATAAAGGTTAGCCGCCATTACAGCCCCGCTGCGGAATTGCCSGGGCTTGGGTATTCTCTCTTGGAGGCCTGACAGTCCTACGATCTGTTGGTTCTAAGATAAAGTACTTCCACCGTTGGATGCTGGAGTTCTGGAGGGTCCAGTCTGAAGCTACCCTACAGCCCCAGAACCAGTTCTTTGTACTGCGGAAATCTTGTTCGAATTAAATTCTGTCTTTCCCCCCCGATTGGTGAACAGCGACACTCAGAGTCCTAACCTGTTATTGCAATTTATTCCAGATAAAAGTACCCACTTTTATACACCTTTTCCATTCCTGTTTCTCCCAGGGAGAATAAAAGCCAAATTCCGGTTGTTTAATTTGCAATGAAAATCCAGGAATAACCCAAAGCTTCCTCTATAATAAGCTTTATAAAGTTATTTATTTTCTTAGAGATATAATGTGTTGAGTTTGAGGGCAAAGAATGCTTTTACCTCTTCTTAGTTTTCRCATTCTTCATCCCTGTAGCCCATTTTCAGGACAGTGTATTGTGTGAGGGACACGTTCATTCCTCCCAGGAACAAGGGTGGATTTGAAAAGTGGAGGAAAGCTATGGATGAAAAGACAGTGGCCCCAGAATTTGGAGATCCAGCTGTAGTCCTTAACTATGTGGAACCAAGGTTCCTCACTTGAGTTCAACCTTTCAAATCTGGGGCAACTTTTCAATTCCTTTACAAGAAAATTCCTGTTGTTCAAGAGACAGTCTTATTCCTGTGCAAAGGGGCTGGTCAAAAATGATTCTATGATTTTTAAAAAAAAATATATATATTTTTTAGTTGCGATGGATCTTATTTATCCAATTATATAAGGTGGTTAGAATTGAATCCAGTGCCTCACATGTGCTGGGCAAGTGCTCTACCATTGAGCTACAGCCCCAGCCCCTGATTMTATGTTTTAAAAGAGAATTTGTTTGTTAATTTTGTATACAGGAGCTTCTAGGCCACAAGTATGCTTGTGACTGTCCTCTTCACAGTGTGTCCTCAACCTTCAGAACAGCAACTTGCATAGAGTAGACACCAACAAATATTTTTCAGTGTTTTGTAAATTACTCATGCAAATGTAAAGCCTCAAATAAAGGGTCAATAACTCTGATGTTAGAAAAAACAAGAGGAGTAAAAAGAAAAGTTAAACTTTAATGTAAAGAAAATATATTAGTTCAGTGATTTTTTTTTGTATAAGACACCCAATAGTCTTATTTTATCATTACCAATGGTATTATTTGACCATCATTTCTGTTTCTYATAGCCTTGATCTTAAAAATAACCAGCAAAGGTAATATTTTAGTAGTTACATATGAACTATTATTGTATATTTTATAGTTTTATTGAGTAACTTGAGATAAAATGTCACCATTCTTTGAGGTTATTTCTCACTTCAAAATTAGCACATAAAAATGACTCAAATTGGGAGCATTGGGAATGTACTCCATGGTTSAGCACTTGCCTAGAATGAATAAAGATCTGGGTTTGATCCCCAGCAYCAGAAAAATAGAGAATTAAGTTATATTTTAATGAGACACAAAATTCTATTAACTATACAGAATCTTAAAATCTTCAGACTTTGAGTGAGTAGATTAAAGGTATTTTTCACAGTCCTTAAGTTAATGAGAAGTAGGAGATTAAAATGAGATGTTTTTGAAATAAATTTGATTATATGCATAAAAATCTATAAATACTTGTAAATTTGACTCAATTCTTAAAAATTTATATTAAATAATAAGAATAGAGAAAGTGCTTTATAAATAAATGTCATTCACATTCCTTCTTATAATAGTAATAAAGTATAAAMGTATAAGCAGCATTAAAACAAAGAATAGTTAAGAAAATGATGAAATATCCTAGAGTGAAAGTGTTAGTGGGAATAATATTGATCCAAAGTTAGTGATTCAAATGTAAAATATGGCAGTGTTTACTACTTGTGATAATATAAGTGCTAATTACAAGCTTAATTATTGGAAGGCTGCATTAAACAAATGTTTCAGCAAAAAGGTAAACAACTAGAATGTAGTTGATGAAGATGAAGATAAACTTCAATGCAGGCAGAAAGATCTGTAGACCTATTAATAAAGGTTAAGAATAAACTTAAGAATAGTTTCAAAGATTAACTAAGAAAGTGCACTGTTATTACTAAGGGTGTTGATATATAGGAAACAGCTCCCTAGCAAGAGTTGCCAACCATAGAGAAATGCCAACAATAAAGACTGAAAATTAGTACTCAGGTAATTTTACACAATCAAAGAACTCATYTCTATCTTTCCGTCTATGCCTCATATTCTACAGACAGTTTCCTCTTGTGATACCATCACAAGAACCATGAAAATTGGCCAAAATTAATTATGCACAATGGAGAAGCAAATACAGTGTATAAAAATGTAGATAGGTTTATGGAAACTTACCTGAGAGGAAAAAGAAGAATCATAGGAGAGTTTAAGGTCTTCATTATTGGCACAACCAGCTATAGAAGGATTATCACATAGAAGATCCTGAGRAGGAGCCACTTCCGGTGTTATGTTGAGAAAATTAAACTCTGTCTTTGCAGAATGCGAGGCAACGCATAGATTGTAGGAATAGGGTATAGTCCCCTCGCTGTAGTTGGAGGGAACCACAGGTCCAGACTTCGAGCTGAGACCAGACTGAAAACAACCCCAGGCAGCAGAACTGAAGGAGTGTCTCAGGCGCAGAGCAATAGCTAGAATCACCGCCAGAAGGAACAGCACAGAAATCAAGGCCAAGGC